GTGTGTGTGTGTGTGTGTGTGTGTGTGTGTGTGTGTGTGTGAGACAAGACGATTTATGTGTGTGTTGAACAGGTGCAGCTCTGTGGTGGCGAGGTTCCTGAGCCTGGACCTGGAGGACAAACAGTTGGATCTGCAGAGTTTTATTAAAGACGAGCTCCTGCCCTCTACTGGAGAGCTGACGAACCGCAGCTGAACTCTGCTGCAGCGCACGTTTTCCCACCTCTGTGGTCAGTGTGTTCATTGAAATGTTTCAGGTTTGTTTGAAGAGATGGTTCAGCTCCAGAGCACAGATATGGACAGTTTATGACCAAACTTCTATTTAAATGACACAAAAATATTTGTTCTCTTAAGGGTTTTAATGTTCTTGAGTTTGTTTTAATACATTGTATACATTTTCAGGTATTCAGTGCAAAATATAAATAATAGATTTATTGATTTAATTAATAAATTAAATTAAAAAGTTGGCATTTCATGCTATATTTGTCTTTATATGTGTCTAGTGTCATCTTATTTGTAAGTCAGTACAAAAACTGGTACCACTAATAATGGTCCCTTTACAAAGATTTTGTTATTGCTTTATAAATAAATGATTGGTCAGTTTTTAATGTTCTGTGAAGCATTTACAATCAGTTATGAAACATTTCATAAATGAAGGCCTCACTATTTGGCAAGATCAGGTTTACTTTTGTTCAGTCATATGAATTGAATATCTTGCTGGTTGTTCTTTTTCATTTTTTAACCTAACAAGACAAATATAAAGCATTCAATAAAAACAGGTGTGTGAATGTTTGTAGCAGTGCCTTATAACTGTTTTATCACAGATTTTTAATGCTTTATAAAGGGAGATCTCATTGAGAAGTGGTACCCAAACATTTTGTGAAGTTGACCTAAATCCTTATGTGATTTTCACAATAACTTTACATAACAAAAATATTTTTAAAATTGCTCATTAATTGTCCTGTGAGGGCTTCAGTAAGGTGCCAGATAGTTAAGAAAGCCACAGTTAGATACAAAAATGTGTGGACACAAAGTTTATGTGCTGAGTTGCAGAAAGGCGTGTTGCAGCAGGATTTGGTCATGACAAAGACGGTGTTGTTCAAAAAGACAGTCGCCGTCATTTCCTCGCTGCACTCCTCCGATTTCACACAACCCATCGTCTTAATGTCCAGAACATCCGCTGAAGAGACAGAACACGGAGTGTGGTCAGTACATGATTTATAAATTCCCCTTTTTTCGTGTTGGTAAGATTAGAGAAAAGGCACACAGCATTGTTTGGACACACCTGCCTTTCCTCGGCCTGTGTAGCAACGCTCCCCATGGCTGCATTTGGTTTCTGTTGTGTAGCAAGCATCCCAGAAGCCCAGGTCACACCGAAAACACTCCAGATAATCTTCCTCTTCTTGTAATCCCATTGACTCCATGAGAGGCTCCAGCCTCTCGTCTTCCTCACCTGGTCTCAAAGAACACCGGTTACACCAGGATTTTTCCTTCACATCGCTAAACAAACAGTTAAACACTTAGGAGCTGATTGATTTTGCTGGCAAAGTTGATTTATTAACGGTGCGCCGGGAGGATTTTGTCTGTCAGATGAGCAAACCTGCAACCACAATCCATTTAACTTGTTTTCCTTCATGTATTTGTGATATGATTATGAGATCACACAAAATGCTAGGAGGAAGATATTCAGATAAAATTATTTTGCACCTGTAGTGTAATTAATCAAACTTTAAACTGACTTTGGTTGCTGTTTTAGTGTCTGTACTTAGCATGTTTGAAAGGCAGGCACGAACTGGTTGTTCTGCATCAGTCGCTGTTATCCACTGCGGCAGTGTTCGACAGTAATGACATAAAACCTATAGGATACTTTAATAGAAACTAAACAGCTGTCATCCAGTTTTTTTTTTTTTTTTTTTGTCAAGGTTAGAAAGAGTCCAGGGGTCAGATTTATAAAAGATTGTGTAGAAACCATACTAAAAGTGAACGTACAGCCAAAAGGCGAAAATGGCGTACGCCAAAAATAATTCAGATTTATAAAAACATGCGAATGCATGTTTCTGCTCATCTTTCCTTTATAGATCACAGCCGCACCTCAGAGTTTGCACACAAGGTCCTGCCTCAGGTTCTGCCCTCTACACGCCCACACTCAACCATAAACAGTCAATGCAAAGTACCTCATGAATGTTAAGGTGTATTTAAATCAGTCAGCTGATCAATGTCAACAAAAGTGATTGGTTCAGACACGCTCCTTCGTGTGTCTGGAGGATGACAGGTGCTCACTGACAGCTGCTCACGTGAACAGATTGTCTGTAATTTACAGATTTTCCATCATTTTGCAGGTTTACAGACATTTAGAGTAATCTAATGATTATTATCAAAAACTCAGCTTCAAATTAATTTTCTCTCAGAGCCTGCAGGACGATAAAACAATAAATAAAATAAAATAAGTCAGATAAAGTTGAGTTCACCGCTCTTATCCCCCGTACTCCCCCTCCTGCCTGCTGTTATCTGCGGCTGACCGTCTACTCACCCACCCCCACCCCACAACCTGCCCGCGTGAGAAATACGGACATTAAAGTGAATCTTTTATAACACATCCACGCTGGCGAGGGTGCACGCACCCAAAGCGTGACTATAACCAAGCTTGTTCCTGTCGTGCTTCGCTGAAATGTCTCTTGTCGGGAAGGGGTCTGTGGGTCAGGGTCGTGAGGAAGGAGATGAATGGAGATGTGTGAACTTTTATTTAAGATTTAAGTTTTTTATTTCAAAGATCCTTATGGCTCAGCAGCAGAAGCATAAATTATACTGTTAAGAAAGGTAAAGTCTATTTAAACTCTAAGTCTGATTATGAAGTGAAATTAAATATCTGACAGTGATCATTACACAGTGTGGCTATAATTCCTCACTTCACCATCTGTGTCGCAGTTTCCCATCTCCAAAATGAACGTACGCATGGGTAAGAGCTGGTATGAGGCACTGCACATTTTCACGTCAAGTTTGGATTTTATAAATCACAACCTTGGCGTGAAAAGTGGTGTACGCAAGTTTCTGGGCTCATTTTGTGCGTACGCAAGCTTTATAAAAATGACCCCTGAGCCGTGGCTTCTGACCTCTGTTCTGTGGAAAAGCTTCTTGTCCATCAGTGACACACACTAAATTTTCATTTCAATAAGGTGGTCTGCACCACCTTTGCACACACAGTCTTAGTAAGCTGCATTGAAATTATACTTTTAGCACAGGCTGCTTTTTAATTTGCACAGCTTTTTAGCACTAGTTATCTGGGATCATGATAAATCAGCCCCTTGAATTTCTGCCACTCTAGCTGAAAAACATAAAAATTTATTATACTCGCCAAATTTATTGGTTTATTTTTCAAGCAGATAAATTTAAGAGATTGAAAACTATTAAGAACCTCTTTATCAAGGGAGACCTGGACTAGGCCAGAAAGTATCTTAAAATTAATGTTTTTAGCCGTTTATGTAATACAAAAGCCTGTTTGGCACATTATTTCTAGGAGTGTTGGAGAACAGTAACCCAAACTGTCCAGCACATTCTGTTTAGCACTTCAGTGTTTCAGAAGTGAACATTTTGGAAATTGTTTCTTTGAGTCAGTAACTTGTTACCAGAAAGAAAAAAATAAAAAGTTGAGGGATAATACTGTGATAATTTCAAGCAAGACTGTTGATGGAGTTACCAGAAATGTTGTCGAGAGAATAAAATACAAGAGGACAAACTCCTCCTGTGATTTTCTTTGTTCAAAACTTACATTCAAGAGTCTGGATTTTATTTTCAAAAAAGTCTTAATTGTGATTAAAAAAACACATTATTATCGGTTTTAGCGGTGCAGGACTTCAAGTACTTGGGGTCAACTTTCCAGGAAAATGACAGTATGGTAAAGAAGGAGTGGATGGAGAAAGGTTTCCGGAGTGGCAAAAATCAAAGAAAAGTTTTACGTGAGATTAGTTAGACCAGCTATATTGTATAGTCTGGAGATGGTGTCATTAACGAAAGACGAAAAAGAACAGGAAGTGGCAGAATTCAAGATGTTGAGGTTCTTGAGAATGACTAGGATAGATAAGATTAGGAATGATATGAACTAGAGAAGTCCAATAAATTGTTAGAAACTCTGCAAGGAGAAGAGACAGAGCAAAAAATGCGAAAAGCAAAACTAGAATTGAATGCAATTATAGACAAAACATAAATAAATTCTTGATACAAAGACTCAGATTAGAACATTTTGAAAACAATTACAAATCATGAAACTTCTTAGCTAACCAACTCAAAATAAATAAAGAAAAAATGACTACATCTGGTGTTAAAGACGTAACTGGGAATACAACTTATGATCAGGGAAAAGTAAATAGTATCTTTAGGGAATTCTATAAAAATTTACACACATCACAAATAAATCCGTCAGATGAGGATATTGATAGTTTTTTTGGAAAAAGTAATACTTCCAAAATTATACAGTAGTCAGTCATCAGAACTAGACTCTCCTCTAACATCAGCTGAACTCTGTGAAGCTTTAAAAAGCATGCCTAATAAAAAAGCTCCAGGCCCTGATGGTTTTCCAGCAGAATTCTATAAAGAATTCTGGAATATCTTAGCACCAGTACAGTATTTCACAGAATGTTACAGGAGTCAGTAGAACATGGCAGGCTTCCAGTACATACGAATTCAGCCAACATTAGTCTCCTGTTAAAACCAGGCAAAGGCCCTGTATTCCCTACCAGTTATCATCCTATTTCCCTTATTAATGTTGATCTTAATTTGTAAGGCCCTCTCCAAAAGATTGGAGAAGATAACTCTTCTCATAATTCATCCGGACCAAACTGGTTTTATAAAAGGAAGGCACTCATCTACAAATTCACACAGATTATTTAATTTAATAGATTATTCCCGAAGTAAAAACATTGAAATGGCTATTCTGTCTTTAGATGCAGAAAAAGCTTTGATAGAGTAAACTGGAAATTTTTATTTGCAACCTTACGCGAATTTGGTGTTGGAAATTATTTTACAAATTGGTTAAAAATATTATATAGCTCACCAACAGCTTGTGTCAGGACAGATAACATCTTCTAGTTTTTGTCTTCAGAGGGGCACCAGGCAGGGATGTCCACTGTCCCCCTCACTCTTTGCTATTTTTATTGAACCGTTAGCAGCTGCGATTAGACAAACTGCAGATATTAAAGGAATACAATGTAAGAACATAGAACATAAAATTAGTCTTTATGCTGATGGTGTCTTACTCTTTCTTCAGCACTCAGGAAGCTCTTTATTTCAGGTTATTGAACTAATAGATTCTTTTTCAAGAATTTCTGACTACTCAATAAACTGGTTAAAGTCTGCAGTTCTTCCAATAAACTGTGTTTTTAACAGTTCTTTTAATACACGACTGCAATCAGATAATATTAAATATTTGGGTATTAGCATTTCTCATAGATTGGAATACTTAATAAAATTAAACCACATCCTGCTTTTAAAGAAAATTGATGAGGATCTAACTAGATGGAAATCTCTACCCATATCACTTATGGGAAGAGTTGCTTCAATTAAAATGATGGTACTTCCCAGAATAAATTAATTATTTTTCAATGATACCAAATAAYCCTTCACCTGACTGGTTTAGATCCCTGGATTCTTCCATCTCTAAATTTCTTTGGAAAAATAAAACCCCACGTATTAGTCTAAAAACACTACAGCAAACTAAAGATAAGAGAGCAATAGACCTTCCCAACTTCTATCACTGCTTCATGGCCAACAGGCTACTGTACGTCTCAAAATGGTTAAATCCTAGCCCACTAGACGAATCCTGGATAGACATAGAACAAACACTGTGCCATAACATTAGGATTTCAGACCTTCCATTCATTAGCACAAACATAAAATGACATGTTTGTTTTAAAAACATTAATATCAGCTCATCTCTGGCAGCATGGTGGGAATTTCRGAAAATGACAAAGTCTTCACTAATCCCATGTAGACAAACACCCATCTAGAACAATCCTGACATCCTACAATAAAAAACTGTGTTAAACTTCCCAGGGTGGAGATGTAAAGGAGTTGAACTTCTGGAACATACAGTATATTTGAGGGTGCAGACTTTGTTTCATTTAACAGAATAATTATACAATATGGCATCGACAAGAAGAAATTTTTAGAATATCAACAAATTAA